AGAAACAGGAGAAGGTTTGGCCTTGGGATTGTTTTTTTAGTTTTGTGTAGCACAGCCAGGTGGGAATTGAGCAGCTCTGCCAGGTACAGCTACCTGCTTTAATCCCTGTGTTAACAACTCCTGCTGCTCCTGGCAGAGTGTTTGGAAATATYTTAGTAATTCTGCAAAACCCAGCTGTGCCTCAGCCTTGACAAATGGTAACACTCAGAAAATGGTGTTTGAGATGGATGACATGGCCCATCCTCTTGCCTTCGTTGCATCCTGTGGAGGATCTGATACCAAGAGGATTTGGGACAGAAAAGRATGTTACAAATGCTCAAGACCAAGTTGGACTTTGAGCAGCCTGGTCCAGTGGAAGGGGATGGGAATGGGATGAGCTTTAAGGTCTCTCCCAACCCAAACCATTCTGTGACTCCATTAAACTCCCAAAAACTGGCACAAGCTTCTATTCTTGTCTGTGTTTCAATACCTGTGGTGTTTCTTGTGGTAAAACCAACTCSGTGGGGTTATCAGAGGTGCTCAGCTCTGAGCTGTGCCCATCACTGCCCAACAAACCTGGAATCACAGGTCRGCTGGAGCTCAGCATTCACTTGTCTGATTTTCATTATACTTAACTATATTCCAGTGGAAATACATCAATTCTCAGCTTTCTGGGCATCATTTAGACAACTCAAACTTTATCCAGTAGACCAAGAGAAGGGGTGGTTTGGCAGCCCATTCCACCAGGGTTTGGCAGACCTTGAGCATACACTGCAGTATTTGGGTTTGGATGCAAAGCAGATAATGGTGTCAGGTGTTACAGCTTGTCTGGGAGCTGTGGGATGTGTTTTCTAGCCTCACCTGGGAGTCTTTTGGCAAATTCSTTATTGCTYYAGGATGCCTGTGATCRTTCCCACAGCGTGTTACAGCTGGGAGTTTGGGCAGGGCGATGGAAAGAGACTTTTGTCCAGGCAGGAGATTACTGAGGAGGGTTTCTGGGCTAAACCTCTGTTGTCACTCATCAGGGCCGGCCTGCAAGGTAGAAGGAGGTTTTTAAGAAAAAAAAACAAACAAACAAACATGTCTTTGAGAACAGGACTCTGGGGATTAAGCAGTTAATATCTCTTCATAACCACTGTGTGCTCTGGTTTACTGACATGCCTCCTGATGGCTGAGAAATGGAAAGAGCTGAAATTTCATTCTCTTCTACATTTGTGGTAGGAATKGCCTTTGTGTGGCTTTCCATACTACAGGACATTTCTGGGGGCTCTGCTGGGTGGCAGGGAAGCAGAGTGAGTATTGTTGGGGTACACAGTGAGCTGCTGCAAACCCCAGTGCTGATCTGAATCTGTGGCTTTCCAATGCCAAGGTGTGACTTTCTGGAGCTGCTGCCTGTTAGGCATCTAAGGGTTTGTTTGCAGTCATTTACTGGAAGTTGCACATTGTTAATTACATGTGAAAACCGAGGAACCACGGACTGAATTCAGCAAGATTGACTGAAATAGTCGGGAGCATTTCTTACCTCAGTGATACGCTGGGCTGGGGAAATGCTGAGTTCTTTCTGTCTGGGGAGAATGGCTGAAGCTTTCCTCATTTCCCCAGCTTGCCTTTGGCATCCTGCTCATGGTTCAGCTGGACAAACTGACCCTGGGGTKCCTCCCTGTGCAGAGTTTGAGCTCTGGATGATGCTCCTTACTCT